CACCGGTTCAACTTTGGAGCGTAGAAAAGAGGAGACACGGTGACAGCGTGAGGCCCCGTGGAGCCCCGTGCTTAGAATTGGGGTTAAATCCACGGATCGCGGGAAGCAGTTCAATGCATTTGATGAGGGTGTGATCTAATTCAATGTATATTTTAGGGAGGTATTTTCTGACAAGCGCCCTGACAGCCTAGACGATGTGAGTTACTAAAGGGAAATAACCAGGCCGCGTTGCAACGGCCCCAGTGAAAGATTTGGAGATCCGGAATCAGCCTTGTTGTTCAGGGAAATGTAAAAGAAGGCGTTGATGTAGCCGAGACAGTGGGTGGCGTTCTCGCCGGCGGGAGATGGCGGAGCCATCGTGAATTATTGACACGCTGTGTCAGGATGCCTGTGAAGCGTGCGCTGCGTCCGTGGCCTGTGTAGGTTATGACGAGCCCGACACAGCGGGTCTGTCCTCCTCGGTTACCGCACACGGGGCTGACCTATGGCGAGGTTCAGGGGTCAGCGCTGATCGGACCTCCTCCCTGCCCGCTTTCCTTCCCCCTCGTGGGAGCTCGGCTCCCGTCGGGGTCTGTGCTCCTCACTGTCTGTGCGCACTTGCAAGAATAATAATTGTAGTGACGATGATGTAAATACCTACTGCGGTGTCCCAACAAATACCTTGTAAAGGATTTAGGAACCCAGGCCGTGCAGGTGAATTTTGCCATGTGATTAATGAACCAAGATGTGGTGGTGGTGGTGTAGATGGATCGCAAGATGTTTACAAGGTTATTTCGCAAGTGAAATAGACGTAGCATCTCGAGTTCTGCTTTGCCCCAAATAGAGTACAGATACCTGTTTTTGATTATGTTTTTTCATGGATTGTTTATTGATTTATTTACCACGTTGTAGGGTCATAGAATGGTGGCGTTGTTTTTCCTGGCAGAGGTTTTCACTATGGGGGGTAGTGCTCGTCCATCTATGACAGTCAGTCACCGACCAAGGTTGTGTGCGTGCCCGGCGTGGGCGTGTGTGTGTCTGTGACGATCTAGACACGTGTCAGCTTACGAATGCCCTTTGGTCATCCCGTACTCGCAACATTCCCTGTGCCGAGCGGACGTCCTCAGAGCGGAAGGTCGGCAGGTTTCCCCAGCAGCCTGGGTTTCCTGTGCTATTGAGATGCCTGCAGCCCAGCCTCGCGGGTCCAAGGCCTGAGTGCACCTGGTAACCCTGTTCCCCCCAACTCTTCAGGGTTCATCGTCTGCTTTCGGCTGCACGTGCTCGCACCAACCTTGCAAGGACGCTGAGCTCAGACTCCGGGCACCTGGCTCCTTGTGACTTTTGGCAGCGATCGCAAGCCTGGTGCTGGGGGCAAGTGCCAGTGATGGGGAAGATGGGGAAGCCCAAGGGCTCCTGTGACAGGTGTGCATGTGTGTGTGTGTGTGTGAGAGAGGTAAGGGGGGACAGTGTGAGTGGGGGTGAGAGATAGGTAAGGGGGGAGTGTGTGGGGGTGAGAGAGAGGTAAGGGGGGAGTGTGTGGGGGTGAGAGAGGTAA